TATATATATATATGCATATATATTACTGTGCTGTCAACGAGTACACATTTTATCACAATTTTATCTTTCATTACAATACAGGTGAATTAAAATACAATGATTGGATTTGTGAAAAAATTCTACAAGAATTGGATGCTACAATTTATTTAATTATTAATACAGCGAATTTATTTAACTAAATTTATTAAATTTATTTAAGTTTCAATTTAACAATAATTGACAGGCCGTATATCTCGAATCCCTCAAATATTTATCAGCGTAAAATAAGAAGTATCGAAATATACGATTTAATTGTCATTTTCCATTGATGTTATACAGGATGTCTATGCATTAAACACATTTTTTTTTGTATTATGAATTTCTTTGCTATTTTGGATTGATTGTTTTGTTACAAAAATATCAGGATAGCATAACTTTCAAATAAAAATAAGAAGAAGGGAGAAGATCGCGATGAAATACGATTTTCGCCGATATTTTTGCTCAAAAGAATTGTCTCAAAATTGGCCAAAAAATCTGTTATTTAGGTGAAATGCGTTTAATGAAGGAAACTTCGTATATATTTTTTTATTCTTTGTCGATAAAGGATATTAAATCGTACGATATTACGCAATGTATGGCTTTCATTGTTCTTTCAAGATTACTTCCTGGACCCTTATACGCTGAAATTTAAAGAATATTTTCAAATTTTATTGTGAAATTCATAATCTCTTGATGTATACTATATACTATATACTAGTATATTAATTTATATTGTGAGAAAAATAATAATAATAGACACAATTTTATCATGATTATTTTTTATAGATATTAAATAAACTTTTGTACGATTAACAAAATTATTTTAAATTATTTGGAATATATATAGTCTTATATTTTCGAAAAATAAATATTATGTGTGTATATTTGTGTGTATGTGTGTGTGTGTATGTGTGTGTGGAAAATTTATATTTTTATTGCAATAAATTATATTATTATTTCTATAATTTTTTAATGTTTTCTCTCTCCTTGAAAAAATTAATTAAATACATACCTTTAATAAATATATTAAATTATTACGATAGGTGTAAATATTGAGTTATAAGCTGATGCTGAAGCATTAGTTTAATAAGTTTTGACAAATAATTATGCAGAAGTATTGAGAGATATGCTAATGATGAAATGGGAAATACAAGAAACTAAATTAGTATCGATAAAATATTTGTAAACACAGCAAAAAATTTTTATTTTTTATTTATTTTTTTTAAGAAATATGAGAAATAAATCCATATATGATTCATATATTGATTATCTTTATCGATATAATATACGAGTATATGTAATAAAAATAATATATATAAAATAATATATATAAAAATAATGTAATCAGTTATTTTTGTCAAGAGAGAGAGGCAGACATAATATATATGTAATAATAATAAAATACGCGTAATTTACATATTATGCGTATTGGTTACCTTCAATTATGCATGTGTCACAGATGTCTTTGCACTGCTTTACTTTGACTGGATCAGATATGAGAGTTTCACAGTTCTTTAGAATTCTTTCTTTAATCGGTACATCTTTGTTGTCGATCTAAAATCGATATCATTCAGCATATATATTAAAACATTATCTCTTTTTTGAGAAAAGAAATTTTAAAAATTATAACTATTTTAGGCAATTTGCCGCTCATTTTTTGACGTTGATATACATATATGTTGTCAAAAGTTACTATCCTGAGTAACATTCAAAAAATTTTAGCTATTGTTTGTTCTTTATTTAAAAATTATAAATAAAATAGATAAATAAAGAAATAAGGAAAGAATGCTTTCCGTGCATGACAGAGATTTCGATGACCTGTAATTAGTAAACCAAGTATTTACAATTAATACTTTTTTGTTTACGTATTTTCATTTTGCATTTAATAAATAATAAATAATTTTTCATGAATAATAAATCATGATATAAAAATTATATTATATATATTAGTTTATGTGATAATTCCACAAAAACACGTTCCATCACGATCATAACTTTTTTCTTTTTTATTCTTTTTTTAGACATTCAAATGCCCGAATTTTTATTTGTTAATAATTTTTTAATAAACAATGAGCTATAAGATCTTTGGAAATATCGTCAGAATCATGATTTTGACAACATTTGTCAATATATAATTTTATTGGAAAAAAGAATTAAAATTAAAATTTTAAAGCAAATATTTGTCATAAATTCATATGTATAAAATATACGTACACCGCCTACTTTTTTCGTTGCACAGTAAATCGCGCCAACATTATGCTCCACTAAAATTACAAACATACATATTAATCGGAATGTCAATTGAAATATTTTTTATTAGAAAAATATTTGTAGCATTCATGTTTTTGTGTGAGCAGTACGCATCATGTTCCTTTTTTTTAATTATACATGTTTTGATCTTTTTAATATTTTGGCCATTCTTTCGAAAATATAGTTGTAACAAGAAATCTTTTTAATTGATTCTCTCTGTTCCTTCGAAATATTGCTTGACATAATTTTAACATGTGATAATGTGACATGTGATAAATTGAACATTAAATAAATAATTATAATAGAGATATAATATATATTTACTATCGGAACAAATAACAGGTAGAATTCAGCGAAAAAAAAGTTAAAGTATATCAAAAGAAGCGAAGTAAAAGTTCAAACGCGAATATTTTCTCGTTTTCTTTACTGTTGCAGGTTACGAGAACAAAAAAATATGCCTTTATATTATAGAGATGCCTATTACATTATATTAATATGCAATATATTATAAAGTATGAGAAAAGAACTATGATCACTTTATGAAAAATATAACATTTAGTTTTTTAAATTGGATATTAGTTTGAATGTTATAAATTAGTTTTGATTCTCTTTAATATTAAATATGTTCCTATAAGATATGTATTGCGTTGTTGACAGAAGTAATATCATACGTTGTAATAGATTAGTACAATAGACTATCATACATTATCTCTATAAAATTTTGTTTCGAATAAAATTGCTGAATTGTTCTTTTATAAGAAATTAGAAAACTTCTTCTTAATTTGGTAAAAGAATACATAAACGGTAATTGTTATTATATTTCAATTAAAAACATTGTTTTGAAATGGACTGTGTTATATTACAATCTGTAGAATATTATTACTTAATAATCGATACTCACCCTGCAAGCCCGGCACTTTCAGAATTTGTTTTTCACATTCCACTAATTTTTCTATGAACTTTTTTCCGGTTACGATTTCATCGGCATGAATTATTGTCTGGAATCCGAAATAATCGTATTTAAAATTTTTTAACAATATATATTTAAATATTATATTTTTTAAAAGAGTAATTATTTTCTGATAAAATTTAAAATAAAAATGATTAAAAATGTATATATTTAAATTACTCTATATAATCAAACTTTTAAATTTATCGAAACTTCGATCACCATATCCGGTCGAGGTATATGATGGCTTTTAATCTCTCTACGTGATTATGTCCGAAAGTATTGATTATTCAAGAACATATTCCGCATTAAGCTTATTTTGTTTCGAGGGAAGCGTATTGTGATTAACACGGTTTTATGTCAAATAAAAGAGCTTTCAGGATTTTGGGAATGTCACATGTATTTTTTTAATATATAATATGGAACCTTTTAATGTATTTTTTAAATAAAATATAAGAATATAATTTTTTAACATAGTAATTGCAATCAAATACTCTAAAAATAACTGTTTATTGTTAACGTTTTTTTTGTTTATTTATCTCATATATTTAGGAATTACATCGAGATTCGGGAACGTTTGTGTCTTCGAATTTCAACGTCAAAGAGAAGCTACGCGGTAATAAATATTTTAATTATATTTTAAAATTTGATCCGGAATGACTTTGAACGATCCTATGATCATAGGTCATTGGATATATGCCTGTGTATATTTTATAAAAATCTAAATGAAAAAAAAAAATAATTTCATTTATAAAAAAATGTAGTCTTTAAATAGCCCAGAAACGCCTTTAAAAAAATTATACCTCTGGAAACAAAACTGCGTTTTGAATATTCTTTTCGAAAAACAGAGAGACTAAACTTAACTTGAAATATTTTTTTGAATATAATCAGGACTTCCGTAGATAAATGCGTAAAGTGATTTTGATAACTTTGGGACGACACGATATGCGAAAATGTTCTTTGAAGGTATTTTAAATTCTGATAACAATGATAAAAAAGGCTAATTGTTTTCGTGTAATTTATAGCAATAAGAGATATAATGAGAAGCAAATAATAAAATCTAAATTATTAAAATAGATATTATTATTATATAGGAGGTATTACAATTTATGATATACTACATGAGATATTAACAAAATTTTTTATTATATATTATATTAAAAATTTGATCCGGAATGACTTTGAACGATCTTATGATCATAGGTCATTGGATGTATACCTGTGTATATTTTATAAAAATCAAAATGAAAAAAAAAATAATAATTTCATTTATAAAAAAAATGTAGTCTTTAAATAGCCCAGAAACGCCTTTAAAAAAATTATACCTCTGGAAACAAAACTGCGTTTTGAATATTCTTTTCGAAAAACAGAGAGACTAAACTTAACTTGAAATATTTTTTTGAATATAATCAGGACTTCCGTAGATAAATGCGTAAAGTGATTTTGATAACTTTGGGACGACACGATATGCGAAAATGTTCTTTGAAGGTATTTTAAATTCTGATAACAATGATAAAAAAGGCTAATTGTTTTCGTGTAATTTATAGCAATAAGAGATATAATGAGAAGCAAATAATAAAATCTAAATTATTAAAATAGATATTATTATTATATAGGAGGTATTACAATTTATGATATACTACATGAGATATTAACAAAATTTTTTATTATATATTATATTATATATATATAGAAGTAATGGAAAAAAATAAAATTAATTGAAAATACATGAACATGAAAATTTTAAAATTAATTATATAAAACGTCATATAGAATATTAAATCAAATAAACGGGTATTGTATGCGTGCCTATGCGTAAGCGAGAAATGGCGATTATATATAATTGTTAACTGATAAACATACAATTAAATATAAGTTAAGTTTGTAATACGATATCTAATTTTTAGATTAATTAATTTTAATTCAAGAATACACAGCATTATAACTATAATAATATATGGAAGGCTTACGTTGCACATACAAAATTATTATTAGAGTATTAAAATTACAATATATACATCACTATAACTTTTTAAATTTGTCATAAAATATGTAAATCCTGTTAATTGCGAAAGCATCAATAAAAGATTGTTTCTTCCTGTATGTACTAGCTATTTTGTACTTACCAACATACAAGCGATGAATACGGCAATCTTCATTTTGCTTCTCTTTAAGTACTGCAAAATTTAATAATCTGAATTATACTGTGAACCGTTGATTCTGTCAATGCTATTTATATGGAACAAGTTGCATAACGATTACATTGAGCGGAAAAATTGTTTACTCTCATTTCTCCCACATTCACGTGATTCCCGTGCACATAATTCTTTCTGATATTATCAAATTTTCGTATGTTAATGTACTTAACATTCATATTCTTAATTAATCTTAATTAATCTTGTCTCTGGCCTCTACTCTCCCACTACTTTTCATTTGCCAATCGGTAAAATGAGAATATCGTGATAAAATGATCATGATAAAATTATTATTATAAAAAATGACACTTTTATTCTGCGCACTTTTATTCTATACTTACAAAATTATATACTATATTTGTTCCGTAGGACAATTTTCTGCATATTAAAAAGTTTTCAAAACTATTTCCAACTAAAAACTACATGTCTTTTTACAATTTATTGCATAGTGTTATCTTGCAAACTATTTAATTAACGTGATTCACAAATATCGCCGTTTTAGATTTCCTAATAATTTTTTCTAGCTTTTAATCCTTAGTCGTCGTGCTATTTTTCGTAAAACGACTCGCGTAGAGTCTTGAAAGATCCCAATATAAAAAAATTATTTTATATTTTTTACGTTGAGAAAAAGGAAAGATACCGAAAGATCAAAGGACGAAGTTTGTATTTTATTACGAAAAAATATGTTTTATTATATATGGGGCTTTAAAGATTCCATGCAATAACTAAAGAGTTAAAGATCTATAATCAGTTTTTCTATCATTATTAATTAATCCCTCTATTTTTATTACCTTAGTTTAATATACTTATAATGATTTTCTTTAGATGCCCTTGCAGACACCTGATTATGTGTAATTTTTATTATCTCGTTGATTTATGATGACATTATCTCTTATGACTTCAAGATTTACAGCAACAATTTAAAGATTACATTGTAACATTTTTGTTATGTTCAGAAACACGCGGTAGTATATACGTGAGTATTATAATATTTATTATACACTTATAATTTTTTATTTAAAATATATATAATTTGTCTGTTAAAAAGAGAGAAAAGAAATTCTTCTTATCATTGTGTATATAAAAACATTGAAATAAGATCGAGATTTCAACACCTTATAACTTATTTCAAATTGTGTATATTTATTTTGACATGTTTTAACATAAATAAGCAAATTTTGTACAATAAAGAACACGCGCTATAATTACGCAATGCAAATTTTAATAACTATGTACTCTGCTTGAATACCCAGATTCTGAATTATAAAACGCAAGATATCTTGACACAAGTGTGCGAACATTGCTAACAAGGCTCTTGTTTAAAGCACGTATAGTAAATGATAACAAAAATTTACGCAAACTGGTATCAAAATGTCCAAATATTAATCTGAAACATGCCTCATTTTTTAAATAATTTATACAGTCGGTTGAATATATATATATATATATAGGGTGGTACCGAAAACGAAACAACGAATATATGATAATATTATATGCTTTAATTAATTTCAGAAATAATCTTTATTTAATTTACTTTATTGAATTTTATTAATGGTGAAAGAACTTTATCATTAAAGATATTTATTTATGAAAAATATAAAAAATAAAATAAAATATATATGATTAGCACATTATATTAATTCAAGAGATAATGTTGTTTGCAGTTTTGTTAGAAATTGGTCATGTCAGAGATGAAATATTCAAGATTTATACTATCGTGCTCTCTTACTATATTCTGTATGTCGATGAAATTAAAGAAACTTAATATTATTTATTAAAGATGGGAAAATATTTTAGAATCTATAATTAAAGTCTACAAAGCGGGTATAAATGGACATTTCGTGACATTTCAATTCTATATGCGTGAGGAAAAAAATATATAAAGGAAACATATCTAAAACACATCATACACAATCGAAGGCCGACATTTTCATATATTTCTTTGTCAATTTGTTACAGCTTTTGTTTTGGGCAGGTTTGACAGGTAATGAACATACAAAAAAAAAGATACGTCTGCGATACTATGGCAATTTAATTCGTGATGTCGTCTGCAGGCACACTGTACCTGTTGCGAGAGAGAAGATAGACGCGATCTCGAAATACGTAACTTTTGATGTACGTTTCGATCTCCATGGAACGAGCTGGTATCGTTATTTTTCGTTATCTCGATATAGAAATATTGTCAGAATTAAGCTAAGAGCCAAATATGAGAGAACCAAATCATTTTATTATTAACAGCCAGCAATTTACACATTATTATTATACATATAATGTGTGCGTTATATAAGGAGGGCTGTCCATAAAGAAACCGAGAATTTATGCATAAAATTATTTTCTTTATGTAAAAGATTGTATGCATTAATAATAGATTGACTGTATATTTATATGCATTCTAATTAACACATTAAAGTTATTGTGATAAATAATAAAGCAAGATAAAGGGGGAAGAGAAGAGGCGGGACATAGTATGTAGTGTCTTTTATATCTTAACGCGTTCAATAAAGAGCGTACTGGGAAGCGTGAAATTAAATTCATCGAAAGTAAATCGAGTTTGTGTACTTCACTGCCGAAAGATTTAACGAACCAAAAAAATCACTCAAAGAGGGTAGAAAGAAAGAGCTCATACGGATTATATTGCCTAATTCAGTAGGATATCTTTTTGAAAATTGAATTTAATTTAAACTCATCAGTATCAAGAACTTATATCCTGCGCAATATTTTTTAACAAAATAAATATTAATAACATTGTTAATATGTTTAATAATTAATATGATAATAATTATATGATATAATTAATATTTTTTTGCAAGAAATTTTATGAAAAGAAAACGTTAAATATTTAATTAAGAAGAGACATTTAATACATAATTTTATTTAATTAGTTTATGAAAAATATTTATATAGAGAGAGAACATTATATCTCTAAATATATCGTATTACAGATATACCAATCTTATTTAAAAAAATAAGGTACGCAAGAATAGATATTTAATTAATACGTTTAATTCAAATTAAAAATACAGACAAGCAGAAATGAATTTAGATTGCAAAATGTAATGCAACGCAATAAAAAATAAATTATATATATATATATATATATATAAATTCTCAATGTTGAGAAATCTAAAAAATGCTGACAAATAAATCCAATTTATTTCATCTATTTGCTCGCTCTTCAAAAGGGGATTGCTTTAAAGGGCGCCGATTTTTCGCTCCCCTTTTACGCGCGAAAGGAGCTTTTTCGGCCATGGTCGCAGGTGCACTGGTCAGACTACAGGCGATTTCGTAAATTATCGTATTATAAATTACAATCGAATGCACGCCGATTGGATTTTCAGTTCAATGATGAAGTCATTTACTATGGTCGAAATGGACATGCGACGGTGTGAATTGGAGGGAAATATATTTTTGATAAATAGTTTCAATCAAAATGCATGCAAAACAGAATATTTATTGCATATTAATTATGCAACGAGAAATTAAGCAAACTCTTTGATATGAAATGCAGAAAGTGACAGAAAATGCGAGATTTTATATGAAAATAAAAATTGTATGGTTAATAATATGTCTGATATCTGTGTGAAACACTTGATAATCTAAAAAACAGCACGACATTAATAATACAAATGAATAAAATAATAAATTATTAATTATCCAAGATAACAAAATTATTTCTTTAGTACTATTAATATCATTTACATAGTACTATTTTATAGTGTACAACATAGTAACATTTTATATTAGCTTTCGCGTTTCGAATTTTTCAAATTTACGAAAACGTTGATGGACGGATTCATCGGTGGATTACACAGTCGCACACAGTGAATAGAATCGATAATATAACCGCCCTTTTGCACGTAAATCTGCAACTGTCGCTTATATCTATGCTGTTGCGCGTTCGAAATTAATCGTGCGAATTGCGCGGTACTAATTACGGTTTGTCAACGCGCGTGTTTTATTTCCCTGGATGTAAAATTGCATTTTCGCCGATACATAAAGTTTCAACAATACTTCCAAACATCGCACAAAATTGCGAATTTCAAAATGAGTATATTCGCACTAGTAATAACGGATGCTTTAAATCTCTAAAATTATGAGAAACGAAGATTAAAAATATGGTACTTTCTTTAAAACTCGAGAAAAAATTATTAAACCGACATTTGACAAAAAATTATTTATTATAAAAATAAACATTATATCATATCATCCTCGAATAATAAAAAAAATTTTGTTTTATTATTATTTGTTGCTTTACTATTTAATACAAAATTTTTATTCTCGAATTTGGAGATTCTTGTTTTCAAAGAATGCAAAATGTATTAATAATATTATTATAACACATATATTTTTTAAAATTATCTCATTTTTTTATCTTTTATAAATTCTTTGAAGTATTGCTGTGCTTCTTAAATTCTAATAGAAATCTTTAACATATTTTTTTAATCTGAAAAATACAAAACATATTTTAAAAATTGTAATCACGCTGATTATAATAATTCTGCACATTTATTTATTTATACAAAATTTTTATCCTAAAGTTTTATTTACTTTTTAAATAGTGTATATAATATAAGAAGACCTGTTTTATATATATATTTTTTTATCTCCATAATACAGATGTATAACGGATAATGCGACTAATGAATAATGTAAACGATGAATGATGCGAATAACGAATAAAATGTTATTCCAACAACAAACCGACCAAGGATTGACTATGTGTAATGCCGTACTCCGGTTATAGTTGGCCTTGTTGTGCGAATTTAGCATTCGTTTGCGTATGTCACTGCGACGTGAACGCACGGATGCGTCTGCAGCCGACCGGCCGATTGCATTTCGAGCGAATACGAGCCCATATGAAAGGGGGAACGACGGAAATTCAAGCGATTGCGGTAGCGACGCGCAAACTTTGTCCCCTGGGTGAAATCACCATCACTAGTGCGAGATTGCGAATTTTTTTGCAAAACACATACGGTATCAGC